ATATGCTGCCTTACTTGATACTGTATAACAATGGCATAGGCTTCATTAGTAGAAATGTTGGTTATGTGTTAGAGAAGACACTAGTAGCTTGTGATGAGGCAGAACTTGGTTTACTTGTGTGGCTTAAGTTGCAAACATACAAAACATTTCAGCAAACTGTAACAGCAGACATCTTGGTTATAAAGAGAGAGAAGAGAGAGAACCAACAAGTTTTACAGATATGCACAACTGGTAACCTTAGTGTACAGTGCCATCTACTGGTCAAGTGATATTAACACACAATACTGTATATAGTACATGCTGTTGCATCCCCAACAAGAAATGCCTTTCAGATGGAATATTTACCAGATTCAGCACCCATCATGTTTTCATAAGAGCATTATATCTCACTGAGAGTCAGACTCTCCCAAAATGGCCACTGGAGCCTGCAGTGGACACCCTCTGTCTGCATTGCTCCTCATAAAGATGAAAAAATGGCCGCCACTGTATGAGACTTTTTTATGTTTACTGATAGGCCAGTTAAATAGAGGGAGGGGTGATGTAAGTAGGGATGTCGGGAGCACCCAGTGGAAGCTACAGTAGGGTCATGGAAAGTGGGCTTGCAGTTCAGCTCCATGTCAATGCACACCATGCATGCCAATGGCGGGCAGACATGAAAATATGCGAGGGCTCTGGTTGTCATTCACAGTTGCTGAGCGAACCTGGGTACTCCTGCTTACAGACGTGAATCTTTTTCCAGTAAGTAATTCAATGGCCTTCCTAATTTGGAAGCATCAAGTAAAGGATAAGGGATTCCCAGTCACTCGTCAGCTGATATTTTATAATATGTGTTTTAGTTGTGCGTTTTTAACGCAATAACACAAAAATTCTATTTAAACATGCTGAATTTTGTTACGACATGAAGACACCCACAGTAAATCTGTTCCATTCAGTTTCAGCCATAATCCAGTAATATGTGCTCTTCTGAAACTACTGTACATGCAGTGTATTATTTTCAGACTGACACTTAGCCTTGTAAGGGTAGAATGAAGTAATCTCGCACACACACTATTTCCTGTCTTTGGATAGAGATCTTGATTTGTGATCTCTAGAGTCTGTAACAATTTGCTATTTTTAATTTATTGCTTCATTTGTGACTGCTGCTACAGCAAAGTAAATTTATTCTGATTTACACAACCTCTGTCCTGGTTCTGACAGTGACTAATTATTACCTAAGTTAAAATAATGAAAGTGTCTCAAAGTGTCCAATTGCAATTTGTTAGTAAAATGTGCCATGCTGTTTTACCGTGATCTAGAATCATACTGACTCACGCCAGCTGCCAAAAACTGGCCAAAAGCAACACGTCAAAACATAGGAAAACACTGGCTTGCATATGTAGAGTCTAGATGCCTTTTTGGCGGGAGGTAAGAGAGGTTTGATGGACGGTGTTTCACATTTTCTGAAATAATTTTCCATCCTCATTTACTTTTTAACCTCTTCCCGCCCAGCCTACATTGAAACAAAGGCCGGATGGGAGCTCTCTCGTTCTGGGTGGATGTCTGCCCTTAAAGAGGTTCTCCATCTTCCTGTAGATAGAAAAAAATTAAAAGTCAACAGCCACCTCACCTGTGGGCACCCGGCTGTGACAGTTTGCAGCTTCAAAACTTCTGCTTCCGGTCAGGCGGTTGGAGTGGAAGTGGGAGCCGGTACGCGCAGGGGCGGAATGACAACTCATGGGGCCCCCGGGCAATAGGGGATCATGGGGCCCCTGTGTCCTTGCCCAAACTCAAAAAAGCCTATGAAAAAGGTACCGGAGCATCTCATGGGGCCCCCTACTGACCCCTGGCCCTCGGGCAGTGCCCGAGTTTCCAAATGGTCAGTCCGCCCCGTCAAAATTGAGTACCCATTGCCCCTGCTCCTTAAAAGCTCCCATTGCTTCACCAGGAGTGAGGGAGCAGGACTTAAAGCAAAGCAGAACTTCCCCTTTTGGGTGAAGCTCTGTTTTAAGAGCATTTAAAACACCAAGATCAGTGTTTCTGAATACATTATTTTTTTTAGTTTCAGCGTAAACTAGAAGTGAAGTCAGGTTATCTCTTCTGGTTTACTATAACAGACAGCTGATCCCAGATTTGTTTGGCTGTGTGGCCAGCCAGCGGACATGCCTGCTGTTCGCTTGGGTCTCCCAAGAGAGCAGGAGGAGGAACTGCACTTACAAAGTGTGCAGTCTATTTGCTTTTAGTAAATCAACCCCATAGTATAAAATACGAGGGCTGTGTTGAGTACAGTTATTCTTCCTCTATAGCAGTGGTCTCCAAACTTTGGCCCGCGGGATGAATGTGGCCCTTTCCTTGCCTTTATCTGGCCCTTGGGGCACTGTTCTTCCCACTGATATGAGGCACTATTCCTTTCAATGACCCCAACAGTGTGGCACTATTCCTTCGACTGACACTGAGGGGGCACTTCCTGCCACTGACACTAATGATGAGGCACGATTCCTCCCACTGACACCAATGATGGAACACAATTCTTACCACTGACACCAACAATGAAGCACGATTCCTCCTCCTACTGATACCATCAATGGGGCACGATTCCTCCCACTGACACCCGCTCTTACTGACCACAGGCGCTATGTAATTACTTGACCACCAAGTCATTGACCACCAAATCTAAGACATTGTCTACTCCCACTGATGCTGGGACATTTTCTACACCTATTGGATATATTCCGGCCCCCCTAAAGTCTGAAGGTCGGTGAACTGGACTTTTGTTTAGAAAGTTTGGAGACCATGTTCCATAGTAACTCTTTTTCTTTTTCATTGCAGGTAAATAATGGATTCCAAGCAGAAGCGGTGTGCAATCATCGAGTTCTTGATTAACCTCCCTAGCGGTCTGATTATGTCCATATTTCTGTGCTCAAAGTGGTACATTTTTTGGCATGGAAATATGTATTTTTTTTATTGTAGGCCTGTAATTTTTAGGAATAACTCACTGAAATCTGTCCAAACAAGAGTCTAGTAAATATCCCGGGTATGTTAAAATTTGAAACACAAAATCATAAATTATATAATTCATGTGAATTTGACAGGTACCCGCTCCCACTTCCGCGGAGTTGTGCTTCCTTCTTCCCACCGCGGCTTCTATGACAGCCGGGTGCCCACTGCGCATGCGCGAGAAATGCTGCGCTTTGTGAATGGCCCGAAGCCTTCTGGGGTCTGTCATGTGTCCCAGAAGACCCCGGACCATTCATAAAGCGCGGCGCTTCTGGCACCCGGCTGTCACAGAAGCCGCCGCGGGAAGACTGCAGCGCTGGAGCGAGGAACAGGTAAGGTTCTGCAGGAGAGAAGAGCTAAACGGCTGGCCCGGTATTCTGACATGGTGGCGGCAGAAATACCAAACCGGCCGCTTTACATTCGCTCCATAAGACGCACTGACATTTTCCCCCCTTTTTTTGGGGGAAAAAAGTGCGTCTTATGGAGCGAAAAATACGGTAGTTATATAGTTACTGTACATAGTAGTTACATAGTTTGGCTGAAAAAAGACAAAAGTCCATCCAATTCAACCATAGCAAAAAAAAAGTTATAATCCTACACCCACAGTTGATCCATAGGAAAGCAAAAAACCCAGCAAAGCACGATCCAATTTGCTCCTGCTGGGAAAAAAATCCTTCCTGATCCCCCGAGAGGCAATCGGATATTCCCTGGTTCAACTTTACCTATAAATGTTATATCCATTTATATTCTGTGTATCCAAGAAAGAATCCATATATTTTGTATGAATTTGCATTTCAACATACAATATATATATATATATATATATTTATATATATATTGAATACGGCCCAAATTGTAGTATTTCAAATATATGTCATATATTTGGGAAGAATATTTTTAAAATATATTTAAAATATATTTTTCTTCCATGTGGAAACTTTCATTCATTTACAGCGTTGCATGACAGCGCAATTATCAGTTAAAGTAGCACAGTGTCGTACAGGGGCGGACTGAAAACTCATGGGGCTCCCGGGCAATTGGGGATCATGGGGCCCCTGTGTCCTTGCCCACACTCAAAAACACACCCAAAAAAGCCTATAAAAGGTACCAGGGGCATTTTATGGGGCCCCCTACTGACCCTGTGCCCTCGGGCAGTGCCCGAGCGCTGGAATGGTCAGTCCGCCCCTGGTGTCATATAGCAAAAAAATGGCTTGGTCAGAAAGGGAAGTAAATCTTCTGGAGGGCAAGTGAATAGAGGAAGAGTTATCAATATGTGAAATTTCAATGGCCTCTGTAAGTTACTAAAAAATGATGCCCACTTTTCTATAACTTTTAGTACAGCTCTCGTGTTTCAGGCACATAGTTGAAATTTGCCATAGCTGGCGTAGGTAATAAATTAAAAATACAGCATACCAATAAAGTGATTATAAAATTCATTTACATGTAATAAGTGTTGGCGCACGCCGCAACACTTCCCTTCATACTGCAATATCTCCTCCGCTCTACCTCGGGGAGCAGGCCTCTGTCTATTAGATTACATAGCTTGAGACTAGTCACTAACAGATATCATTCTCACAGTAGGCAGTCTGAAGTACCTGTTTTTAAATCAATTCAACACCTTCTTTGTGCAAGATCCTAGGCAAAGTCTGCCTGTAAAACTGACATGCCCTGGGGCTGATGGGTACAGATGTAGGGCCCAGGAATAAAGGTGCTCGGCAGGTATGCACTGAAGTGGAAGATTAAAGAGACAGAATATGTAAAAGGACCAAGAAGAGTGACGAGGATGCAATGCTAAATAAACACACAGACCACTCCGGCTAAATAAACAAATGACAGGATATTTGGTTCCAAATGTGAAAATGAAATTGGTTAACCCGTTGCTATTTGCATGTCATAGTGTGCGTGCTTCATTACTTGCAGATTTGGAAGTTAATACGTTCATGTTACATTCAACGATGTTACATATTTCCCAAGCTCAGAGAGCGGCTTGACTGTTGAGATAGGAATTTACTAAGCAACTTATTCACTCCCTTGTTATATCTCGCCTTGACTATTGTAACTCCCTCCTCATTGGCCGACGACCTCATCGCAGGCTATCCCCTCTTCAGTCTATCATGAATACTGCTGCCAGACTCATCCACCTTACTAACCGTTCTGTATCTGCCACCCCTCTCTGCCAATCCCTCCACTGGCTTCCACTCAGTGTCCTCCATCCCTCTCTGCCAATCCCTCCACTGGTCTCCACTCAGTGTCCTCCATCCCTCTCTGTAAATCCCTCCACTGGTCTCCACTCAGTGTCCTCCACCCCTCTCTGCCAATCCCTCCACTGGCCTCCACTCAGTGTCCTCCACCCCTCTCTGCCAATCCTTCCACTGGCCTCCTCTCAGTGTCCTCCTCCCCTCTCTGCCAATCCCTCCACTGGCCTCCACTCAGTGTCCTCCACCCCTCTCTGCCAATCCCTCCACTGGCTTCCACTCAGTGTCCTCCATCCTTCTCTGCCAATCCTTCCACTGGCCTCCACTCAGTGTCCTCCATCCCTCTCTGCCAATCCCTCCACTGCCTTCCAGTCAGTGTCCTCCATCCCTCTCTGCCAATCCCTCCACTGGCCTCCACTCAGTGTCCTCCACCCCTTTCTGCCAATCCCTCCACTGGTCTCCACTCAGTGTCCTCCACCCCTTTCTGCCAATCCCTCCAACTGATAAAATTCAAAACACTAACAATAACATATAAAGCCATTTATAACTCTGCCCCAAATTACATCACCAACCTTGTCTCCAAATATTATTATTATACAGTATTTATATAGCGCCGAAGGGTGTGCTCAGCGCTGTACATTATAGTGGGAGACAGTACATGAGACAATACAGTACAATACAATACATGAGGGGTTCGAGGGCCCTGCTCTTTCAAGCTCAATATCTAGGAGGGAGGGGATAGTGGTACAGGAGGAAGTGGCTGTGGGGGATGGATTGGTAGGAGGAGTGGAGGAGATCGGTTGTTACGTGAGGGTGGGGTAGGCTTCCCTGTAAAGATGGGTTTTTAGGGTGCGCCTGAAGGTGAGGAGGGTAGGTGACAGTCTGATGGATTGGAGTAGGGAGTTCCATATCACCCAAACTGTGCTCTCTGCTCCTCGACAACCTTCTACTCTCTAACTCCCTTGTCTCCTCCTCCCATGCTCGTCACCAGGACTTCTCCAGATCCTCTGGAACTCTCTACCCCAATCTATCAGACTACCGCCTATTCTGCCCACTTTTAGGCGATCTCTGAAAACCTATCTCTTCAGGGAAGCTTATCCTGCCTTCAGCTAATAACTGAATCTTCTATTCCTCCTACTAGTCCATCCCCCACAGTTATTTTCTTTTGTACCACCAGCCCCTCCCTCTTAGATTGTAAGCTCCAAGGAGCAGGGCCCTCCTAACCCTCTATTGAACTGTATTGTTGCTGTATTGTCTCTTTTTATATTTTAAAAGCGCTGAGCAAACTGTTGGCGCTAAATAAATCCTGTATAATAGTAATAATAATAATAATAACTCATTCACTCCCCTATTATATCATGACTTGACTACTGTAACTCCCTCCTCATCGGCTTACCTCACCATAGGATATCCCCGCTCCAGTCTATCCTGAATACTGCGGCCAGACTCATCCACCTTACTAACCTCTCTGTATTCGCCACCTCCCTCTGCCAATCCCTCCACTGGCTTCCGATTGCCCAACGGATGAAATTCAAAATGCTAACATTGATGTACAAAGCTGTTCATAACACTGCCCCAAATTACAGTTGCAAGAAAAAGTATGTGAACCCAGTGGGATTACGTGGAGTTTTGCATGAATTGGGCATAAAATGTGCTCTGAGCGTCATCTAAGTCGCAACAATAGAAGAACACAGTCTGCTGAACATAATTTTACACAAACATTAGATGTTGCCATGGTTTAATTGCACATAACATGTAAACATTCACAGTGCAGGGAGGAAAAAGTATGTGAACCTTTGGACTTAATAACTGGTTGACCTTCCTTTGGCAGCAATAACCTCAACCAAACGTTTCCTGTAGTTGCAGATCAGACCTGCACAACAATCTGGAGTCATTTTGGACCACTCCTCTTCACAAAACTGTTTCAGTGTAGCAATATTCTTGGGATGTCTGGTGTGAATCGCTCTCTTAAGGTCATGCCACAGCATTTCAATCGGGTTGAGGTCAGGACTCTGACTGGGCCACTCCAGAAGGCGTATTCTGTGCTGTTGCAGCCATTGTTTTGTTGAATTACTTGTATGCTTTGGGTCATTGTCCTGTTGCATCACCCATCCTCTGCAGAGCTTCAGTTGGCGGACAGATGGTCGTACGTTTTCCTGAAAAATGTCTTGATAAACTCTGGAATTCATTTTCCCATCAATGACAACAATCCGTCCAGGCCCTGAGGCAGCAAAGCAGCCCCAAACCATGATGCTCCCTCCGCCATGTTTTACAGTGGGGATGAGGTTTTGATGTTGGTGTGCTGTGCCTTTTTTTCTCCACACATAGTGCTGTGTGTTCTTCCCAAACAACTCAATCTTGGTTTCATCTGTCCACAGTATATTTCCAGTAGTGCTGTGGAACATCCAGGTGCTCTTTTGCAAACTTCAAACGTGCTGCAATATTCCTTTTGGACAGCAATGGCTTCCTACGTGGTGTCCTCCCATGTACTCCATTCTTGTTTAATGTTTTCCTTATTGTAGATGTGTCAACAAAAATGTTAGCATGTGCCAGAGATTTCTGTAGGTCTTTAGCTGACACTCTGGGATTCTTCTTTACCTTATGCAGTATTCTGCGCTGTGCTCTGGCAGTCATTTTTACAGGACGACTACGCCTAGGGAGAGTATCAACAGTGCTAAACTTTCTCCATTTGTAGACAGTCTGTCTTATCGTGGACACATGAACATCAAGGCTTTTGGAGATACTTTTGTAACCCTTTCCAGCTTCATGCAAGTCAACAATTCTTGATCGTAGGTCTTCTGAGAGCTCTTTTCTGTGAGGCATGGTTCACATCAGACAGTGCTTCTTGAAACCAGTAAACCCAAAACAGGTGTGTGTTTTTTAAGGGCAGGACAGCTGTCAGCAACACATCCAATATCATCACACTGATTGGAGTCAAGGTTGGCTCACTCCTGGTTCCAATTAGCTCTGGGAGAAGTCATTAAGCTAGGGCCTCACATACTTTTTCCTCCCTGCACTGTGAATGTTTACATGTTATGTGCAATTAAACCATGGCAACATCTAATGTTTGTGTGTAGTATTATGTTCAGCAGACTGTGTTCTTCTATTGTTGTGACTTAGATGACGTTCAGAGCACATTTTATGCCCAATTCATGCAAAACTCTGCGTAATCCCAAGGGGTTCACATACTTTTTCTTGCAACTGTAGATGCAGAGGGCACCTTACAAGGTCATTGGGAAGATACTTCATGAATTTTTTTCAACTTTCTGTCTTTAATTTTGTAACAATAGTCATGCTCAGGTTTGCACATCAGGTTACAGCCTGATCATCAGGTGTAAGAATTTTCTACTGTCACTGGTAGAAGAGAACTGCTGGCCGCATTTGAAACTACTGTCAGTCCTGGTGGCTCCTTGTAGAGTATGGAGACCAAAGAGACAGTACAGGTGCTGCTGTAGAATCAGGCAGCAGTGCAAAGCACCCGGGGCTGGATTGCAGGTTCAGTATTCATGTAAATTGAGTAGGAACTGCAGTGTCCACTTGGTAATTTAGACACTTTCCATTGCTTGTCCATTGGAAGGTGACCTTACAGTTTTTTTAAAGTCTCCTGCATTGCCCTGATGGCGTCAGCAAGAATGCCAATAAGAAGCAAGCCTGAACTTCAGCAGTAGGTCACCTGTCTTCACTCCAAAAAGAGCCATAGAGGGTTACATGATGATGAAATCAAGTTTTGGTAATAAATTGTAACTGGGTGGAAGTGGAATGAATGAGAGTGATGGTTCAGTATTTGCCTGAAAATGGGTTTAAATCTCCCCCAAACCCTTAAAACTTACCCAAAACCTAAATCTTAAGCCATAATACTTAACCTGTTTCTAAGGCTTAACCTTATGTATATTGACCTTTGACCCATCCCAGAAAATTAACCCCAGAATGATGAGGAACCCCACTGCCATAGCATAGTGGAGGCTTCGGGACTATCAGGAGTCATCAGAGGGGTGGCTGCTAGGACCTGAACAACTGGCTCTGGAAGACATAATCAAAAAGTTTGGCAAACCTAGACCAGGCGGGCAGTGGCAGAGCAGTAGATGACTGCTGGACAACATTGGATATATGAGTATGTGTTTATCAAGGATAATCCTGAAAAGGGTAAGAGGAGATATAAAAAAAAAAACACAAGGGTGTGTGGGAGTTCCTCTTTAAAGCCTATCTTTAAGGAAAAAAGAAACAACTCCCTTGCATCCAATGGACTAGAAAAATCACCTTTACTTTCTTGAACCCCATTCCCTCAGCAGCAAACACTGCCCTACACTCTAGTAGTAGTCTGTTCTTCAGCATCCTCAATGCAAGGCTATGGACTAATGCCAGGATGATAAGGAACCCCACTTCCTGAGAAGCAACAAATCAGATGCAGTTGTGCTAAAAAAAAAATTGCATCCCCTGGCAGAAATCGTTAAATGTCGGCATTGATATTGAAAATATGACTGATCATGAAAAAATGTATAGAAATAGTGAACATATGAAGCCATTTGCCCTCCTATTCCTTCTGTACTGAAATGTATTGTTGCTGTATTGTCTCCCTTATGTTGTAAAGTGCTGAGCAAACTGTTGGCGCTATATAAATCCTGTATAATAATAATAATAATAATATTATCACATAGTTTTTTGACTCCTTTTTAAATCATAATGATAACAGAAATCACCCAAATGGCCCGGTTTAAAAGTTTATATACCCTGGAATGTTTGGTCTGGTACAGACACACAAGGTGAGACACACGGGTTAAAATGCCAATTAAAGGTTAATTTCCCACATCTGTGGCTTTTTAAATTGCAATTAGTGTCTGTGCATAGATAGTCAATGAGTTTGTTAGCTCTCACGTGGATGCACGGAGCAGGCTAGATACTGAGCCATGGGGAGCAGAAAAGAACTGTCAAAAGACCTGCATAACAAGGTAATGGAACTTTATACAGACGTTAAAGGATAATAAAGGTGATCCAATCCCATAAGAAATACAAGAAATTTGTTTTGCTGACTCACTCATGTTTTTGTTAAAAATGGTACATACTGTATATTACCAATTCTCCAAGGGTATGCAAACTTTTGAGCACAACTGTAAGTAACAGTACTTTTTCTATGGACATAAACAAGTGGTAAACCCTTGAAATGTGGGTTCAGCCCCACTGTATGGGAGAACTTTTAGTTTTTTTTTTTTTTCGAACTTGAGCTTTGTTTAATCAACCTGCAATTGCACGCATTGCTTTTTTTTTTTTTATACCTGACTGTATTTTACCTTTAATATGGACAAGATGAAAAGATGATGGGCACATATTCAATGTCCACTGAATAAATGTAATATATGTATAGGCACTCTATAATAAAATCTATAAGGAAGAAGTAAAATAATAGAAGCACACAGATCACCCTACATTAAAATGACATCCATTTCACCTAAAAAATGATATTTGTCATACAAATCTCTGGTCACCAGCTTGTGCCTACAAGCAATGTAATTTTCGATCCAACCACTTCCTCTTTATAAGATTGACATTTTGTAGAAGGTGGACCGGCAGGTAGGTGAGCACAGATCAAAACAGATTTCAACAGCCTTCCTCTTTAAAGGTCAGGTTTGTTTCATAGCAGCTTTTCACATTTATCTAGTAGTTCCAGACTCTAAACATCATAATCGGACCCAGCAAAACCGGCATCTTCCTGCCATAGAAAATTTCTGTTCAGATACACAGAAAGAAAAAAAATGTACATCATTTACTTCCAGATTCTGCACATGGTTAACTTTCTGGTTTAATACATATTCTATATTATAGTTAGTATTGCTTCCAATATTTTGGGACGTAATTTAAGTTTAAAGTTTATTTTAATTTTAATAAAGCGAAGGAAGATCAACTCAATGATTTATTTAGTTTTTTTTTTCTGCACTTGAAAGATCCATCAAATTTTTGAAGGACTTTTTCTCCATGCATTGGTCTATATCACATATTTCAAACACAAGGCCCACAGGCTGAATCCAGCCCACCAAGCATTTTTACGTGGCCCACAAGGCATAGTCACGTGGCACCCAGTTTTGCAGCTGAACTGTGCCAGAAGTCCATTCTGCCACCTTCGGCTCTCACCCTCCACTCCTGCTCCCTGGTGTCACTTGTAAACACAGAAGCCTTCTGTGTTTACAAGAGACAGCTTTGCTCTCAGCGGCTCCCGGATCTAACTGATCCCTGCACACGCTCACAGCAGGGCACAGTGGGGTCAAATCTCTGGAATCTGTGAGAGAGAATAATTTCCCTGCAAGGCACGGCAAAGCTGCTTACACAGGGAGGTACTAGAGCCAACTACACAGGTAGGTACTAGAGCTGTCTATACAGGGAGGTACTAGATCCATGCCAGGTAAGAAAGAGTAGAAATGAGAGGAAGCATTTGGGGGAGAATGGGGTTACACGCTATGTATAGGGAACCCCTAAACCCTGCACTATGTACACAGCGCACCCCTGAACGCTGCACTCTGTAATAGTATACTC